CCGGTAGCACCCTCCCGACGGCCGCCGCCGTCGCCGTCGTTTCGGTATTGATCTGCAGGCGAAAGTCCGACGAGCCATGCGTCGCTCCACCGCTGCAGTAGCTCCTGTTGCTGGAAGCAGTGGAGGCGGAGAAGGGGAGATTTCCGCACTCGGCACCGATGATAGGAATGGCTGCTGGTGAATGGCCTTAGACGCGGTGAACCGAGCCGAGCTGGTCGATATTGGGAGACGCACGTGGGTAGGAGAGAGGAGAGGAGACGCGGACTGAATGAGCGGGGACGAGAGAGAGACGGAGGAGAGATCCGGTAACGAGCCGCTCCCACGTGCCACGGATGGATACCGGGGGGACAAACATTAGAGCAGATACATTCCCGGCACACACCTCCATATATACAGATTACAGAGACTATACACAATAACACCCAGATCGGACAGACACTATTAACAAGAAACAATGCGTAAGTATCACACATGCTCAATGGTAGAAAAGCCAAACGCAAATCACACAATCAGAAAAAGACAGACCGTACATAATGCATCAACACACACAGAGACAGAAGGGCCGACAGATAACACACCGAGACACACAGAAACTCCTGTGCATGGCGACATGCTAACAAAGCCGCCTGTTGATGGATTTGAGGCGACTCAAAACTGAAGGAGACATGTCAGATAGCATATCAGCAAGCGTTCGTTCGTGGAAGCATAAGCCGGCAGAATAAACTCCAAGAAGTGGGACCACAGTGCGCAAGTCCGATAGGGCTTATGGCTATCGAAAACAGTAGCGTCGTTCAATGTCCATACGAGTTCAACGTTCGAAGCTCAATAATGCAGCTCATATGAACAGTGGAACGGGTTGCGCCTACCTCATGGCACATTCAATCACCCAAATGGTATTGCTTTGCACCTACGGCACGAATACCGTCTGGATTATATCGGAATCATATTCACTGAATGCATTCATAAATATTAATGCCGGCGAGAATAAATATTGAGCCAGTTCTCGGGGCTGTGGAACATGTCAGAAGAAGGTTCGAACGAATTAAACATACACTCGACAGGCAGAACACAGAAATGTGTTCACTATTCTGTCACAGTGTTCAGTGTGTTCTGTCTAGCCCTGTGCTACGGAGCTATTACGTTTTATTTCGACTTTAGTCGCCAACCGGACTGGCGTGCTGCTTTATCCTCCGTCTTGTAACAAGACGCCTACGTCGGCCGCAAAATAGAACAAACCGGGCAAATGGCATCCCCAACATTCAGCGAGTCACGGCATTTTTGCACGGTGCAGCCAACACAGACTCTGGCGTAATACGCCACACGAGACGTTCTAAGACGGCAAAAATAAATAGCCGGTGTATTAGTGTTGTTTGCTGGCCATTCAACCTTTCCCAGCAGAGTGGACTAGGCCCGACTGTACCGTGCTCCAGAAGAAGCGAAACACAGGTAAAATGAGAGCAAATGGACGGACAGTGGCTAGCACTGAGCCCAGTCGGAGCAAAAGTTTCCGGTCTGTGTCAGCATTGCTCCAAGGGAGCCAATGCAGTCGAGTGAGACGAACCGTGGCCAGCAATCACCACAAACTTCTATCACTCCTACCACTACCATTGCTTTCGACAGTCAGACGGAGCGGAGTCAGACGTGGTGACTGCTGCTCAGACGGAGCAGCAGTCACCACGGCCAGGGAGCTGTCGCAGCTCAGTTCGCAGCCAGCAAGCCGCGTCACCAACCGCAACGGACAGACCGGATAAGAGCGAAAGACGTGGCCTAGTCCCACTAAGTCCGGTCAGCAACTAACCACAAAAACAACAAACACAAATCTCCAGGAAACCGAGATCCCTTTACACACCTCTCATCCGCCCGTTCGCCAGCACACGATCTTGCCCAAGGGCGTCGCACGAGTCATGGCATGTCTGACCTTTCTCTGCCCAGTGCTCCGTGTCTTGAGTAAGCGATATGGTGTGCCCGTGTGTCTCATTCTTCCGAAGCTCGCTGATCCGTGGCGCTTCTGAGTCACGTCGTGACCTTTATGGGACGTTGAGCCACACCGTGAGGCATGGGGCGAAGGTCGCGGATCACGGAATCGGACGGATGTTCTACAAACACGGTACATCTCTCGGAATCCGCCGGCGAGAGGATTTACCAAGAGAGTGGTCACGAGTCTGCTAACACGAGACCACACAGCATGCTGCAGGTACGTCACGGAAATAGGCAGAAATGGGATCACGTCTTCTGGAATCAAGGATGAGTAGAAGGAATGGCTAAGGAAGTTGTTAATTCAAGTAATGGATAACATCACCCTGGCCAAGCGAAGTAGAGAATAAAGAATTGGGATCCACAAGGAGACCGAAGAATAAGAGCAACGACGTAAAATTCGCCTACAACACTGGGTAGGCTTTCGTGGTCCATCTAATTCTCAGCTCTTCTGAATCTTCTGTTGATGGAAGACTATGCAAACTCTCTCCTGAACTGAGTATGGAATGTCTGTTTCATAAATGAACAATGAACGCGTCTTTCTGATCACAGATCCACCCCGCCCCTCACCTAGACTGTGCGTGGTGTGCTGGAGGAACATCGACCAGCTCTGATGTACACCTGTCCCCATCCTTCCCCGTTACCTGGGCTGTCTGTGTGTGGTGTGTATAGTGATGTGTGTCCGACGTCCGTACAACTCTCACCCACCTGGACTGTGTGTGGTGTGTATAGTGGTGTGTTTATGGTGTGAACTAACCTGGACTGTGCGTGGTGTGCTGCTGGAACATGGACGATGTGGAGGTGGCCGCCGCCACGGCCGCCGCCAGGGCCACCTCGTAAGCGGCCTGCGGCGGCGCCGGCAGGCTGGCCAGCGCCATACTGTGGTGGAACTGTTCCAGCTCGGCGCTGACACTGAGCGCTGCCGCAGCAGCCACCTTGGACGGGTCGCCGCCCAGACGGGCCTCCTCCCGACCGGCGGACACGGAGAGGGAGGGCTCGCAGAGCAGGGGAGCCGAGCTGGCCAGGTCCAGAGGAGCGTCTGTGGAAAGAGAGGGTCAGGTCAGAGCCGAGCTGGCCAGGTCCAGAGGAGCGTCTGTGAGAGAGAGAGAGAGAGAGAGAGAGAGAGAGAGAGAGAGAGAGAGAGAGAGAGAGAGGGTCAGGTCAGGTCAGGTCAGGTCAGGTCAGGTCAGAGCAGGGGAGCAGAGCTGGCCAGGTCCAGAGGAGCGCCTGTGGACAGAGATGGTCAGGTCAGGTCAGGTCAGGTCAGAGCAGGGGAGCAGAGCTGGCCAGGTCCAGAGGAGCGTCTGTGGACAGAGAGGGTCAGGTCACAGGTCAGGTCAGGTCAGGTCACAGACAGGTCAGAGCAGCGGCACAGAGCTCGTCAAGTTCCTGTGCCGACGGGTAGGGGTAAGGTCAAATCAGCACAGGAAAGGGAAGTCCAAGGGGCTATTATAAGTCCAGACAGGCTCTGTAAGGGTGGACCGGAGGGTCAGGTCATGTCTACAGTAATACGGGTATGCCATGACCCCGCTGACACACTTCCCAGTTACCGAGGCGCAATACATGAACAAAAGGCTGCAGAACATTCCTATTTCTTCCACATAATGGAGCTACATGTACATGTACACTCGGGGGCAGATTGATGTTCCACCACTCCCCACCCATCGGGCTCCCATGGCTCAGCACTGGCTGCTGCCAGTGTTGCCTGCCCTCAGCACTGATCAGCACTGCCTGCCAGTGCCAGTGCTGCCAGTGCTGCCACTGGCAGCCACTGGCGGTCGCAGGGGGGGGGGCACGGGGGCCATGGCCCCCCCCTTTGGTGCTGAAAGGTGGGGCCATACTATCTTTTGGCCCCACCTTTCAGATCGAACAAAAGTCCTAGAAAAGCTTTTCGTATGTTTCATTTTCTTTCTTGCGCCATCAAAGGACGTAAATTTCACTCATGAGTGGGCTCAGTTCATCGCATTCTGTCAATTTGGCGGTCAGCGTCGCTGGCACCGGTTCACGAGTATGGCCGGATCTTATATGGAATATCAGCGTGGGTTTACTTAAGGCTCTCGTAGGCCCAGCATTCAGCAATGGCTGGCATGAGACCCTCTTCGGCAGTGGCAGTGGCCCTGCTAAAGGAGATTGGCTCCAAGACACTAAAGTAAGACCTCATGGGTTGGTGCTGTGCACCTCAGAAGCCCGGTGGTGATGCCGTATGCCGGGTTGGTTTCTTAAGGATTAGCGTGGGACCTTCGGGGCCTGCATAGAGTTTGCCTGCGCTAGTATGTAATCTCAGAGGCATGTGTGTAATGTGTACACAGTGGCGGTCGCGACTCGCGGGGGGCCGGGGGGGGGGCATCAGGGCCATGCCCCCAAAGGTCAATAAAGGGGGCCATCATATCATTTGACCCCCCCCCCCCCTCAAACAACCAATTGGCTCCCATATAGGTGTATGGGGGCCCTGGCAATTATTCGATCGTCACGAGGCTAAAAAAAAACACGCCAAGCTATTAATATAGCTCCCACACCGGTCTTTGAGCGTCCTACACTGACCTCTGAGGGAACTTCAGTGGCGGTCAAGCGCCCACGTTGACCGCTAAGAGCCTACATCAACCTCTGAGGCCCCACATCTGGCCTATGAGGGCCCCTAACCGGCCTCAGGGGTCCCAACCGGCGTCTGAGGGTCTCACACCGGTCTCTGGTGGCCTTATTTCTGTCTCTGGTGTCCCAAGACGAACCTTTAGGTGCCAATAAGGGCCCCGCACTGGCTGCTGAAGACCCGATGCGGGCCTCTAAGGGTCTGCATTGGCCTCTGAGGAGGGCCCATCTTGGCCTTTGAGGGCCCTCTGCTGGCCTCTGGGGTCCAACGACGGCTCATGGCGGTCTTTTAGGGCCCCACGCTGACCTCTGAGGGCCCATGTTGGCCTGTAATGAGTAAGGACCCACATTAGCCTCTGAGAGCCCAACTCGGTCTCTGATGGTCTCAAACTACTGGCCTTTGTAGTTTGCAGGCCCTGTACTGGTCTCTGAGGGCCCTAAACTGGCCTCTACATGAAAACATACATGGGTGGGTTTCTGAAGATCAGAGGGCTCACGCAGTCTCCGGCACAGCCTTACGTTGGTCCTGATCGAGATTGCTTTACGTCCTGATGGTCCCGCGCTGATTCCCTCATATTTCGACGTCGGGACCCCATGAGCCGGTGTGGGTCCTGGGGCTGGCAGAGACTGATGAAGTCCTTAGGGCTCAGGGCCAGTCTTTTTAGCAGTAGGACTAGGCAGGTTGAGTGAGCCCCAACAGAGCCGTTGCGAAGCCCCGCAGGAGTCGCGCGCGGCCCTCAGATGCCGATTCTGAAAGCTCGGAACCTGTGGGGGTCTCCAGAGGTCGGTGTACCTACTCTCTCCCGCCGCCACACAACTAGGTACCTATATGGGTAAATGTCATAGTCTAAAATACTCTCTGGGTTTCACATGCTTGTTCAAAGTAAGAGGTATCTGTACTTTTTAGCAAGAGGTATCTGTACTTTTCCGAATTGTTTTATAGTGGTAAGGTCATGAATCCGCGTGCCTGACCTTCCAGTATACCTATGCTACACCGATCCGTCGTCATGGTGCAGCGGCCCGACTGGTGGGCACACCGTGAGACGGTAAATGGAACTGGTGATTTTGCCTTAAATTGAGCTCAAAGATTTCACGCAAGAATGAGATGGATGAAGCAAAGTAATGCCAACTGTGCGGCGCCTCGTGGACGTAAACAATTAGCCGATCACCCCCCCCCCTCCCTCCCGGTGACGGATAAATGTTATGTCCCGCGAGTGTGACTTTGGCCCCCCCTTTTGCTAGCGGCTGCGACCGCCAGTGCTGGCAGCAGCCAGTGCTGAGCCATGGGAGCCCGATAGGTAGGGAGTGGTGGAACATCACTCTGCCCCCGAGTGTACAACCGCAATCCCAATCAGACAGCTGCGCTCAGCTTTCACAGGCGGCATCCAAAGCGGGCGGACGAATGTCATGAATGTCGAACACGATTCTATAATTCCACAGCGTCCCAGTTCAACTCCGGCAGACAAAGAGAAACGTTAAATGCACTGGACATAGGATGGGGGATATCAACCCTCTGGTTCAATGCGAGTTCAGTGAGCGGTCAGGATGGCAACAGGGATCGCTGGGGCTGTGTCCGCTGAAGATGCCCGTTGATCTGATTGGGCTCCACATGTCTGTTAAAGGAAAAGGGCCACCTTTAACATGGGGATTGAAACTGAGATAGCCATCTTGTAGCCCGTGTCCGAAAACCTCTCTGTCTACCTCCTTACGGCCGATTTCGGCCTCCATTCGTAGTTATCGGCAATTTTAAAAGAAAATATGCCAGGAATGCGTTCTTATCCCAGGAATGCGTTCTTATCCGACAATACAGCCACCCGCGGCGAGGCTTTGGTTTTTAACCAATCAGCTTGCAGCAGTACTGATCAGGCACGGATCCCTGTACTAGCGAGCAGACCACGAGTAGTTGCGTTATTTTTCGTTGTCTGTTCTGGCAATCGGCCGGCGGATGAACATCCGCAATCGAATCTTGAAATCCGTCGCGCTGATTGGTGATGAGTTTCATGAGCTACTTTCATGAGGTCTATGAAAGTAAACCTATGCTATGCCCTGAACAGATGACATCTCGTTTGGTAGCCAATTGCTAAAATGCATTTTTATCTTACGCAAGGCAGTATACCATATTTTATACCGTGGCTCTGATCCGAAATCAGGGCATTTTTGTTCGAACAAATACCTATAATAACGATGAAGTGCGTGATCCGCGGAGCAAACGACCTACGTCGGGTCGGGACTGATATGCGTGTGACTGTGCACAAGTAAGTACCTAGGTACCTAGGTAGGTACCTAAATTCTTATTTATTGCAATGGCTCTTCTATTACTTTTGTTTTCACAGAACTCTCCCCTGGATTAGCAAACCCTTTTGAACTGTTCAGGCTTTCACAACTGAAATGCCAGACTGGATAAAAAAACGCAAGTTATGCCGAATATGTCATGCGAAGTGGCGTGATTGCGGCGTTGCCCCGAAAATTTCATCGCACATCCAGCATAATTTTGCATGCGTCAAATTCAGCGCATGGTGGCAGCTGAATTTTTAGGCGCAGGGTGACCGCATGGCGCATAATGTTTATGCAAATGGCTGTCACCAAATTTTTTGACACGCTGTGGTCAATCTAGCAGCAGACTTGCCCTGCGGGCGCTGGCAGGTCTGAAGAGAGTCGGAACTTCCGGCCTGGGCCTTGTTTCACCTTAAGATTCTACAGTGTGCCACACAAATTGTGGTATTGGGTTTTCATGGGAACATTAACTAATTCAGACGCTCAGAAAGGGAAGAGCGTCTGACTCCGAGGCCCCGGAACGATCTGTCTGGTTGATATAGCCTTGGTCGGTAGATATGCACATGTGTTTTATGTAAAAGTGGCTTAATTTTGGTGCAAACAGGCACCCAACTTTCAGTGGAAATCATGCACTGGAATTTCAGCTCAAAATTGCTTGCTTCAAATTTTGGCGCATGAGGGGCTCACGGGCATCCGGCGTAGTGTATGGATGTTTTCCAGTCTGGCTGAAAGGCAGAACTCAGACACATTTATCCAGCCCTTCAAATCCCGTTTCCTGGTTGTGGTAACACTTACCTTTCCATGGGGGTTTGGTTCATCTCTTGTCTACACAGTTTTCTTTCACTTATGTGCTGACAAGAAAAGGAAGCTCACCAGAGCCCAGTTTCACCAAGTGCGGTAAACTCAATTTGGGGTAAACTACCAAACTACCCCACTACTTAACTACAAAAACTACCCCAAAATTAAGTTTACCGCACTTGGTGAAACTGGGCTCAGTGGAGCTATTCAGCTTAATACACAGTATGTGTTGCATGGACTAAGCATGTGTTGACCCTTTTTTACTTTTAGGTTCCCGCTAAAAAAAAGAAGTACAGAGAAAAGTGGATGAGGGCGTGTGGCATGACCAATGAGCCAAGACCACATGACCACTTAAACTTAACAAGTAGTGCGCACCATGAT